AGTCTCAATTAGCTGCTTTAAATATTTGTGGTGTGCTCTGAGACAACCCACGCATTTCCTTCACATGTGACAAGGACACTAGTTAAGATGTTCTTTGGCTCGTCTATGCACTAATATCACAAGGGATAGTGCAGTTCATGGGAAAAATGGATATGAAGGAGCCATGGATAGCTTTTGTAAGTTACTCTGCCAGATGGTAGCCCAGACTATTTTCAAACAGTGGGAGAAACTACATTTCTTAGCAAGAACAGGGAAAACAAAAGTCCTTAATGTCTTTTGCTAGATAATAAAATATATTATTAATAGATAACTTAGAGATATATAACTAATAATAACTTACATTTAGATTCCAGCCCCTTTTATGATTATGATATAATGAGGTAATGTGTGCAAATTTGTTTGCACTTAGTATATTCAGCATTCAATAAATGCTAACTTCTGTTTAGTGTTATGATATTTGATTTTCAGTAATAAAATTATTATTAATAAAAATTCTGATCATATGGTACAACAATCTAAATTGCATCAGATATTTCTTGGTTTCTAGATAATGTATTTTAATTGCAATGTAATGCAATTGGAAGGATTTGATTATGAATGCCTAATGTCTCTTTTAAAAAATTCATTAATCATTACTAATTTTTAGATTTAAAATAGTTATAGTGATCTCTCTATGGTTTTCTATAATTCCAAGTGTTACTTTTTAAATGTGTTGGGATTTCCATGGACTCTGACATTCAGAAGCCAAATAACTGTGGAGGCTGAATTGGCGGCCCGTTGCTCTTGAGACTTTTGATAGTCCTGCTGTCCCATCAGCATCAGTCTGCCTGAGGTGCCCTCTGTTACTCTTACTTTCCTCTGGGTGAAAGCAGTCTTTCTCGTTTTTTCCCCCCTGAAGCATCCCTAGTAACACAAAAGAGAAACTACAAATTCCCATGAAATTGCTAGAATGTTGGAACTTTGACAGCAGCTTGACATTTCTTCCAGGTTGAGTTTTTAATGATCAAAGTGTACATCAGTTTTACATTTCAGGCCATAACAATCTCAGACTTATTTCAGTATCGAAGACATGTTTCAATTTATACACCACCAAGTAAAATTAGTCTCCTGGGTTTCTCTCCTTTCTCCTCCTCTCCCAAGACATCTGTTTGAGAATTTTTGAACATATTCTTTAGAAATGCCTGTTACAATACTCCTAAATGCATGCTATACAGGAATACCTTTAAGTGGTTTAGCTGATCTGAATATCTGATACGTCTTGTAGGAAATGATACACAGGAAAGTGATAGTTTGAGGGAGGAGATATGGTGTAAGCTGGCTACTTAGGAGTTTGAGAAGTGTAACAGTGTAGAGAGAGGTGTGCTTGTTGGTCAGGAGAAAGAAATGAGTACACATAAAATAGGAAAAAGTCAGAACTGAAAATGAATGCCAGGATGGGGGTTGTTAACAATAAACTTCACCCTCGCTGCGATTTTTCCTGGAATGAATCTTTTATGGTTCTGGTACCTTAACCAGGAGGACTCGAGGAGTTGATTCCTTGAACCACAGAATGGAAAGATGACCTCTATCCCTCCTACTTGAAAAAATAGAAAACAAAATTTTTATGTAAGTGTTTCAATGTAAGCTCCTCATAACTTAGTCTTTTATTTTTTCTTCTTCTATTAGTTAACAGTTTAATTTCTCTTTCTGGTTTTTTTTTTTTCTGCCTGTATTGTTCAGTCTGGATGTGTTGTCTCCTGGTTATCACTGGCACAAACTGTTTTCTGCAGTTGACCATTGTTTCCTAGAGAGACTGAATTCTATTTACCAGAACTGGCACCGCCTGCCACTAAGGCCTGGATGCCACCTCTCAGACTGATGAGATAATATTCTGATTGATAAATTAGATATGTGTTATAACCTGCTGCAGGAAAAGGATGTGAGAACATGCTGTGTTAGAAGTATCAAGCTTCATATTTTTTAATGTTTCACTGTTCTCTTGCAATGAGGGAAGATGCCAATTTTTCTTTTGTTAATGCTTTTAAAATGCTTGATGAAAATTTCAAAATTAAAAGAAAAGGGAGATTTTAAAAGTAATACTCTGAAAATGAGTGTGGGTATAATCTCTAATATTAATGCAGCTTGGTTTTTCAAAGGAATCCTTCCATTGGCAAATACACATATCTTTGTAAAACAGACTCTTGTAGATGCATTTTAAACAAGTTAGTAAAATTTATATTCAAATATACACAGTACAGGGCCAGCTGAGTGGTGTGTTGGTTAAGAGTTGGCTTGGGACGCCAACTCTGAGCAGCAGGGCCCTGGTTCATATCCCACATGAGGGCCAGTGATGCTGCGCCCTCTACAGCTAAGATGGTGAACAACAGCTGGACCTGGAGCTGGGCTGCCATGAGTCGCTGGTCATGGCGTAGGCTGCAGTGGGGCTGGCCGGCAGCTGGCGTGAGATTTCGTGAGCTGCCGTGAGCCACTGTGAGCTGTTGTGAGTGGCCATCCAATGGCCAGCGATCAGCTGCCTCACCTCACCTGGGAAGAGCACAATGATAATACCAACATGGGCCAGTGAAGCAACATCCTCCACAACTAGAATGAAGAACAAAATGACAGCAACTTGTCTGTTCCCCTCCCGCAATTTCCCAATAAAATCTCTAATAAATAAATGAATAAAATAAAATATGCACAGCACCAAGATATTTATTATAATAGTAGACTATGCTAACTGCTTTTCATATCCCCTTATAGCATGGGTTACTAGTGAATAGTTAAATCTCAAACAGCTTTTCAACATATTTTATTTAATCTTTAGAACTGTGAGGAAGGCAGAAGGGTATTTTCATTTTTACAGATGAAAGAATGGCCCTGGAAGAAGTTGTTGCGTTAAAAGCAAAACTAAGATACTCTGACTGTTGTCCGTGTTCTCGGCATACCCTATCTTCCCGACTCTCTAGATTCCGTCTCTAAGTTCTATCAGACTGTGCCGCATGGGTAATGATTTTCTTTTTATCTGTGTTGTTTCCATGGGTCACAATGATAAAGAGGCTTTAATGTGCTTTGTAGCAAGAGCACAGCTTGCCTGCAAGAGATGCCATATCATGGTTAAAGACTACAGGCTCTGGAGCCAACAGCTGGGCTTGACTTAAACCCAGTTCTACCACTCACCAGCTCCGCAACTCTGGGAAAGGTGACCACTCTGCCTAAGTTTTTTCTTCATCCATAGACTGAGAATAAGAAGAGTGCCAATCTCATAGGGATGCTGTGACAAGTGAATGAATGGACATACATGTAAAGCACAAAGAAGAATGCCTGCCCTAAGTAACTATATGTTGTGTTATTATTACTTAAGAATTGCATTTTTCAAGGTGGATGTGACTTCGTTTTTCAGTCTCCAGAGGAAGCTCATTATGTCTACACTGTTAAGAACTGACTCCCCACACTCTGCTGGTGCAGTGAATGTTTTTTTTGTTAGAAAACTCATCTCTATCTGTTCTCTAGTGTTTGTTCTCTCGTCTTCAGCCTTAGTCTAAATTATAAACATGATGTGAAGAACAGGGCACTGACCCCCAAGGCAGAAGACCTGGGCTTCAGTCCCAGCTCAGTCACGAACTGGCTGTGATGTTGGGTCAGTCATTTAACCTTATCAAGCTCAGCTCCTTTTCTCTTCATGAGAAGGTAGACTATACAACTTCCAAGTCTACTTCTAAAATCCCATTCCATGATGGAGGTGACTGGATTAAGTTTACTTTAACAAAACTATTAGGCAAAGCCCTACTTATCATCCATTTAGTGAAAGGCTGTTATTAGAAGGATTTCGCTATTATTATAGTAGATATTGGGTTGTCGGAAAAGTCATGACGTATTTTTCCTATGCTTTTCATTGCAAAACTGTGTCATGACTTTTCCAACATCTCAATAGAATTGGTGAGTGTCTGTATAGATTTTGATGAATTAAATATTCCAGGACATTTTTTTTAAATACTGGGTTCCTCATACACTCTATGGAAAAATATTCATCAAATTAAAGTGACAAAACAATGTCTCATGAAGTACCTTGCATAAAATAGGTGCCTTATCCTTTCTCCGGTTCTCTGCTTTGTAGAGGAACTCTCCAGCAACCAGTGTCGCCTCCACAGCCTCCCCTGTGGTCCTTCGCAGTTTCTGGGTCACACTCTCAGGCATTGCTGTGAGAATGGAGAGGAGTCTGTACACTGTGGACATATGTTCCGGCTTCCCCACGCTTGGTTCTTCAGGCCCCTGGCCAGTGTCAGTGTATACACTTGGTCATTATAATGATGAACTAAAATAAGAAATAAAAACAATGGGAAAAGATCTTCCTCGGGTCCTGATGTAACTAACAGCTGATGATTTCCTGTGATCCTCATTTGCTTTTGGTTTCGATTGACATGCTGAGCCTCTGGAGCCTCTCTTTCTCCATCAGCCAGATGGGAATGTTGTCCTCAGGATGATAGAAAAGACAAGAAATGTGGGTAACTAGTAATTTATTAAAAGGCAGATTGCAAGGATAAGCCAATATAGAAAAAACAAGTTCACCAAGCATAAAGGTATACGATTTACTTTACAGAAGATGTTTCACTTATTAAGGTCTTGTACACTGAAGGGCTGATTTAATTTTCAGTTCTTGAAGCAGTTTCTTTCTTTGTTTTCTCCCAAGCCTAGGAATGCCTGGCCCAGGTGGGACAGGAGCTGCAGCGGTGTGCAAAGTCTCAGACCATGGTGATGGGCGGGCTGGCTGTCCTTGGCACATTCAGAGGAGGGTCCCCCCGTGGCTGTTCCTACTACAGGAATCGCAAGGGGCTGCTGGCAACCACAGAGCCAACTGGGAAGCCTCAAAGAGCAAAGACCCTCAATAATGCTAGAAAAGAACACTGGGCTAAACCCTGGAAAACAGTTCTCAGGTCTGGGTCTATTTCCTGACAGCAGTAGTCACTCAGGATGTGCTTGGCCCATAACTTTCTTCTTTGGTGTATATTTTTACCTGTTTGTAGGGCCAAGGAGATCTGTTAAAGAACGCAAAGAATGAAGCTCTAGAAAACATGAAGCAGATCCAGCTGGCGTGCTTGTCGTGTGCACTTAGCAAGGCCGCCAGCAGCAGCGCCGAGACCAAGGGCAAGCGCGGCCTGGAAGCCATAGAGGAGAAGGAGAGCAGTGAGGAGAACGGGAAGCTGTGATCCGGACGGAGCAGTATCGACATGTCCACGTCCTTCCTGTCGAAGACTGTGTGTTCTTTCTGGTTTTCTTTCTTTAAGGATTTTAGACATTCACAAAAAGATGCCCTCTATGGAATGTTGGACATATACAGATATTTTCACAATGTCAGTATTTTCACATAAGTTAATTTATCTAAGTTAAAATGTTAAGTAGCAGTGTTTTAAATTCTGAGATGTGTGTACACACCTATGTATGGATGTGGGTGGAAGTGTGTGTGTGTGTGTGTGTGTGTGTGTGTGTGTGTGAGTGTGTGAGAGAAAGACAGACAGAGAGAGAGAGAGAGAGAGACAGAGAGACAGAGAGACAGAGAGACAGAGAGAGAGTAAGAGACAAAAAGAGNGAGAGAGACAGAGAGACAGAGAGACAGAGAGACAGAGAGAGAGTAAGAGACAAAAAGAGGGAGAGAGAGAGAGAGAGAGAGAGAGAGAGAGAGAGAGAGAGAGAGACAGACAGAGAGGTTGAGATCCAGTTAAAATCTATTCTGTGTAGCATTCTTCATTTAGTAAGTTATTACTGTATCATTTTGGGAAAAATTTGTTAATCTAAAATTCTAAAGATCACTCGCTATAACCTGTGGCTGTGTTTAACTTTACCTCTCTACCTTTGTCATTAATTAGAGATGTTAACAGCTTATTGTTGAAGGAAGCCAAATTTACCAATGTATAGATGTTTTGATAGATAAAATATAGATTAGAAAAATTCCTAACAATCACAGTAGAAATAAAAATGAATGAAAGGTAAACAACTGATTAAAATTTCTGGAAAGATCGGCAAAGTAATTTCTTCAGTTAGTGAACTCTTTAAAATATTTGTTAAATAAAACCAATTTTTAGAAAGTTTTCTGTAGTGTTTACTAAACAGATATGATTTCAGTTGTAAAGCTGATCATAAGTAAATTTAAACCCACCTACGCGGTACTCTGAAAAACAGTACAAGCTCTTTTGTAATTAGGACTTTGATATGACAGTATTATTCAGTTATGAAATTTCAAGGTTGAGGTTTGTAGGAAGATTTCATTCTTCCAAACTGGGAGTCTAGCATTCATTTTCTATAGCAGACATGCACAGTTAGGGGGTCTTGGCTTTGATAGCATTTAATTTAGAATACTAAATTTAAATGTAAACACATTGTTTAAACATTATCATATCATCATGTTGAGCTGATACAAATTCTGTGAGTCAGATAACATCTTTATGATGATTTAAGAACTAATTGATTATAAAATGCCTATGACATAATTTTAACACATGCATAAAAACATAAAAAAGAAGCAAATGACTAATTAGGGTACATTTACAATTGCATCTAGATCATTTTTGCCCTAATATTTTCATAAAGTACTTGAGTGTAATATGTTTGTTACCTCCAACAGAACTAAATGTTCTATGGTTATGAAAATATATTTATTTAAAACATTGCTTTTATTTTGAAAAGCTTCTTAATTAATTTGATGAACAAATATGCTAATTTGGGGGAACCTAGGGAAGATAATTGTTGAAATTTTGCAAATATAAACAAACATCTTCTATAGCTATCGTGTTAAGTTATTTCTGACTTCTTAACACTATTATGTTCATGTTGCACATTACTGAACGAGTAAAGATATGAAACAACACTTTTATTCTTCTCTTTTATTGTGAATTAATTGAAAAGGGAATGATGATGTAAATGGGTTATTATATCAAAAATATCTCAAAGGTTGTGGTATGTCCATAGGCCAGATATAATCCTCCTTGGATTAAGGAGAAATCAATCCAATAAACAGACACTTGGGAGAAGTTAACCAGGTACTTGGGGGATTACCTGAGCTCATTTTAAGGTAGATTTCCAATGGTATTACAATAGCCTGAAAACATTTCTTTCTACTCCATTATACTTAACCTGCATGGTAGAAGGAATAGGGGAATGCGTGTACCTAAGGCCCTTGTGATGAAAATGAAGTGATATAGACAGAAACGAAGCCCACGTTACACACGCTATTTGCTTGGTTTCACCTGTGGACATCTTCAACTCTCTGAATTCCACTTGGAGAAATCCATGCCTTTATTAGTGATACAGAGAACAGGGAAGAGAAATAGAGGGTGCCAAACTCTCAACAAATATTTATTTATTTCTATACTTGAAGGTCAAATCTAACCCTTGAAAGTGGCTTTCCTAGTTTATTCCATTTGTCCTGAAGCTCGACCCATACTTAGGACCTACCCAAATATTCTTGACAACATGATATGAATCCCACCTCATCGAATGCTACTTCTGGCAATGAATTGTCAGCTATTCTCTGCTCCATTGCATTGGGTATCATTGCTAGATAAGGAGCAAGGTGTGGGGCAGAAAGTAGCTTTAGATATTGGGAGTGGTCTTGCCTCTGGATGCAATAACAAAATAAACAAACAAAAACTTTTTACATTATTACATTCTATGAGTGTCTGTCTCCTTTTCAGACTTGAACTGCAGTACAAAATCACCCTTCCACACTTAGCTTTTGGTGATTCAAGGAAGGTAGTATGGTAGATATTAATTCTATTTTTGTTTATTAATTTTTACATTACCGGGGATTTGAGGCAGAGATGGAAGGTATTATCACTGACATTTTATAGGTGAGAAAGCCCAAGGCCACTGACATGGCAAATGGAAGAACTGACTTTTAATTCTGTTCTCTCTGAGTTTATGTGCAAGAATATTTATTCAGTTATTTTGATTTGTAATTTAGGTCTCAAAAATTTAAAGTAAATGATTAACTCTTTCCTTTGTAACCACAATTGAAAATAACTTTATCATATTTTCTGATAAGAAAATAATAATAATTAATATAAAAATGCAAAAATAGAGAAACGTATAAAAGATGAAAATTGCCCACTACTAACATTTAGATTTATACCCCTTCAGATACTTTTTAGAGTTTATATTGGGTTGTCAGAAAAGTCATGACGTATTTTTTCTTTCATTGCAAAAATGTGTCATGACTTTTCAAACAACCCAATACATACATGCAAATTATGCTTTCATTTTTAACAAATATGAGATCATATTACCTAAACTGTTTTGTAACAGGCTTTTTTACAACAATAAAAATATATCATGGATATGTTTCTATGTCGATAAATACAGAGGGTGCCAAAAAAAATGTATGCACATTTTAAGAAGGAAAAAACTGTATTAAAATTACACTGATGGTAACCACTTTGAGCACCTCTTGTAATTGCAGAAGTCAAATGTGGCTTGTATTCATCTTTTGTTACTAGTATATATTGAGTATTACAATTTTAATACAGTTTTTTCTTTCTTAAAATGTATATACATTTTTTGGCAGCCTCTGTCTATGTATATACACTAGAGTTTTCACAAATAATGTATTTTATTTAGCTACTGAATCTTTTTCAGAAAAATTTTAACAATAGATACTTTTAAAAATCAGGAGATTTCACATAAAAAATTCAATTTTCTACTTCTTTTAAAATATTGGGTATTCTGACAACACTAGGAGCAACCCTCCTTTCCACCCCCGCCCCTTCCTACTTGGCATCAATAAATTGGAGCTGTTCTCTCCCAAAGTTGCATGTGCTGTCCAGTTTGCCAAAGAGCCTCTTCACTCATTTATGTTACGTCCTGCCCCAGTGGACATCTTAGGTAGCAATCCTTGATCCAAATAATTGTTTATAATAATGATTTAGCATCTTATTATGTAGATTATCATAACATATTTTACCAATCCCCTATTAATATTTTTTTCTCTCCTAATTTCTTGTTATGTAAGCATTGTAGTGATGAAAATCCATTTTTGCAAGGTGGTTCAACTTTTTCTTTAGGATAAAGTTCTGGAAGTGGAATTATGGTGTCAAAGAATATATATATTTTGTAGGGGTTTTAAGATACATTGCCAAATAGTTTCCAGAAAACTTGTCCATTTAAATTCCCACCAGGAATTTATGAGAATACTCAAATCTTGGCTAATAATTTTTTTAATTTTCATCTTTGCCAGTCTACTAGGTTAAAAAATCTTATTTCTGGGGCCGGTGTAGTGGCTCAGTTGGCTAAGATCATGAGCTCTAAGCAACAGGGTCACCAGTTCGATTCCCACATGGGCCAGTGAGCTGCACTCGCGCTGAGCTGCCTCTGAGCTGCCAACAGGTGGCAGGAGGGCTCAGCTGGTGAGAGCGTGTGCTCCTAACAGCAAGGTTTCCTGTTGACTCCCACATGGGACAGTGGGCTACGCCCACCCGCAACTAAGATTGAACACGGCACCTTTAGCTGAGCTGCCGCGAGCTGCCGACCAGTGGCTGGATAGCGACTGGACTTGGAGCTGAGCTAGCTGCAACCTCCTCAACTAAGACTGAAGGACAACAACTTGGCTGATCCCCTTCCTCAATTCCCCAATAAAATCTTTTTTAAAAAATCTTATTTCTCTTTATCTTTACTCTCTAGTGATATTGAGCACACATTGTTACGTTTATTAGCTGTAATAATCTCTTATAGAATGTCTGTTTTTGTGTTGTGATCATTGTTGGGTGGGATGGTAAATTTTTATCTTTTTATTATTTATTTTAAAGAGGCATTTACTTAGTAAGAATCTTAACCCTGTGTTTAACCTTGTCCTATGTGTTGCTGATGTCTTTTGATGTAGAGGTCCCCAATTTAATTCAAGTTATGATTTTTGTCCTTATGGTTAATGTTACAACATCTTTGCCTATCTGCGCTCACAAAAATAATGCTAGTAGCCTTCTTGGTTTATTTTTCACATTAAATCTACAATTCCCCCCTAGAATTGATTTTTGTGTATAGTGTAAGGTAGCAGTCCATTGTCATTTTTTCCCCAACATAGATAATCAGCTGACCTGGCCCATTTATTGTAAAAACATCCTTTGTTCATGACTCTGTAGTGCCACCCTTGTAAAAAAAAATGAAGTATCCATGTATGTGTGTGTCTATTTCTGGAATATGGAGTTGGTTCCATTGGTCTAGTCTGCCCTGGTAACATTACTGCACTATCTTAATTATTGGGTTGTCAGAAAAGTCATGACGTATTTTTTTAATCTTTTTCGGTGCAAAAAATGAGTCATGACTTTTCTGACAACCCAATATTACTGCTTAATAATGTTTTGATATCAGAGAGTATAGGTCTCCCCACTTTTCTTATTCAACATTTTCTTGGTTATTTTTGGCTGTTTGCATTTCTATGTAAACTGTAGTATTCCAATCTATTCACATGGTGTATCTCTCCATTTATTTAGGTCTTTCTTTTAATTCAATTTTATAGATTTCTATAAAGATACCGCA